GTTTTATAAATAAATATATATGTTCGTTATATCAAGGGATATTATTTGTAAACCGAATATTTTATAAAATTATATATAGATTCGTTATAGCAAGGTACCTCAATGGACCAAAACCTTGATATATCGAACCAAACACCCCAGCTCCAGAGCTTCGTTATATCGAGGTTATACTGTATAGCATTCTGCTTTTCAATCATCACTCGAAGCCTTTCTTTTATACCGACAAAACAAAAAGTTGAGACAAAATTAGTTTTATTATATACTTATAAAAAACCTAACCAAATATGTATAGCATTCTGCTTTTCAATTATCACTTAAAGATAGCAAAAATCATAAAAAAGTTGGGACAAAACTCTAACCAAAAAGTTGAGACAAAACTCTAACCAAAAAGTAGAAACAAAAAAGTTGGAACAAAACTCTAACCAATTTTATATATAATTTTTTTTAAGATGTTTTTGAAAATATCTAGAAACATAAAACCCTCTAATATGTTTAGGCCAATAACCAGAAATAGAATGAGTAGGTTTACTATATTCAAAGCAGGGATTATGAGGTAAAGCTTTATAATGAAAACAGCAACCCTCAGGGCGAGTACTACGACACATACAAATTTTGCCAGAATAATCAACAAAAGAGCAAGTATACATAGTACTCATTTTTATATAAGGTAAAAATTCAATTTAAACAATTTTTTATAAGTAAATAATAAAACCAATATGACTCATAAACAAAATCATACATGTGAAAGCTGTGGGTATATATATTCAACACCACAAAAACTTCATCAACATTATAATAGTAATAAAAATCCATGTCACCACCGAGATTTACCAAATCAGAATCTAACTCTGCCAGCTAATCCAGAAATAGAATTTCTTAATGCATTGAGATTATTTGATCCTTGAGAAATTGCTGAGACTATTTCATCTCCAGAAGCTGAAAAAGAATATCTCAAAGCATTAGGAATATTAGAACCTATTCCACAATTTCATCAAACTGATATTATTAGTTCTGAATGTGAATTATTAGATGATCATTATAAAGTTGAGATAGAAAAAGAAAGTGTATATGCACAAGACCCTATCAATACTCTTGGGTACTTAGAGAACAAATAATAAATATTTTCAATGAATAATTTGACTTCACGCATGGGTTCAAAACACAATTATGCCTCAGAGGAAAAATGAGTCGATTAGCAAATTATCAACAGGGGTTATTTGATGATAAAATAGAAGAAGATAATGGTGAAATAGATTATAAAGAAGTTCCATTTAAAAATAAAGCAGTAGTAGTAACTGCTAAAGAAGATATTCCAAGAATTGTAAACGAACTTATTTGGGATATTGAAAATCAAATAGAAACTTATATTGTTGAAGGCTTAGGCTGGGTTTATGAAGTATTAGAAGAAGTAAATATTGAAATGCCAATCTTCGTTCCATTAACTGCTACTTCTCATCTTCCATTACCTAAAGGAATACCAAACCGAAATAATGGAATTATTAATATTAAGAATGAAGATAATCGATGCTTTGAACGATGTATTTTAGATAATTTATATCCAGCTCCTTATCATCGAGAGTGACCTCAAAATCAAAATCCTCATTTAGGAGAGTTAAATTTCAAAGGGATTCAATTTACAGTAAAAGCTGACAATGATACAATGGAGAAATTTGAAAACCAAAATCTGTCTATATCAGTATCAATTTATGGATGGAGTGAAAAGGAACTTATTCCAATTAGAATTGTATCTAAATCCAAAGTATATAATAGATGTAATCATAAAGAAGTAAATTGTCAACCACGTAAATTGATTAGGCTTTTATTAATTACTAGAGATGACTCTAAAACAGGAGAACCATCTCAATATTATTGTTTGATTCAAGGAAGAGATGGATTAGGAAAATTAGCTGGATATACGACTAAACACAATAGGAGGTTATATGTTTGTGATTATTGTGTAAGCTACCAAACCTATGACTCCAAGATTGATGCTCAGCATATGAAAGATTGTGAAGAAATTATTCTCCAGTTCAAAGAACAGTAATACCATTGGTAGGCAAGAATATATATAAATTTAGATGATATGAACGAATGTTAGATACGCCTTTTACTTGCATAGCAGATGCTGAAACTCTCTCTACTCTGATAAAAAAAAATCAAGGATCGAAAACAACAGCAATCCAAGAACATAAAGTTATATCATTTGATTATATAATTAGGTGTAGTAATGGCAAAACGAAAGCACCAGTAAAAATTAGAGGTGACGATCCTGCTGGAGAATTTATTAAAACAATGGAAAAAGAAGTAGAACAATATCAAGACTTTCTTGCAGGAGGTCATATAATACAAAATTCTGCAAAGAAATTAATCAAAATATTGCAATCAGGAATAATACCAGAAGAGATAGCAGAAGATTATATTACTAGTATTAATATATTTCAATCATGGGAATTAGGTAAAATTAATCTCAATTTCAATAAAGAATATGAGAAATTAATTCATCTTAAACATTACTTAAAAGGTTTTTACCAAGCTCATAAAAGAGATCCTCTTGGAGTAGATATAAGAATAATGTACTATTTAGCAAATACAATTTATTGTAAGCTCCAATGGCCTGGAGAACCAATGAAAATATTAACTACTCAAGAAGAAAAAATGCATAATCTGGCTAAAGAATGTTGGATATGTGAAAAGCTATTTGGAAAAGAAGATAATCTTAAAAACGTTTGAGACCATGACCATATTACAGGTAACTATAGAGCTTCAGCCCATAGTATTTGTAATCTCCAACTACGAATTAAACCAGAGAAGTTTAAATTACCAATTCGTTTTCATAATTTAGATAAGTTTGATGCTCATTTTATTTCCCAAGCTATGGAACGAGTAAGCAAAGAAAAGATAAGCGCAATTCCTCATAATATGGAAAGTTATCTCACTCTTGATATTGGAAATCAAAGATATATGGATTTTTTACAACTTATGCCTAGATCTCTTGATTCTTATATATCTAATTTAGGAGCTGAACCATGTAAAGAGGAAGTAGATAAAGATGGAAATTCTTTAAACTTACCATGTAAAAAGCTCAGTCATCTTTATCAAATTAACTCAAATAGATGTTTTGCTCATCCAGAGAGATTTTTTATAACTAGAAAACATGGACCAAAAGGAAGGGATGACTTAGTATTTCGTAAAGCTCCTTTCCCATATGATTGGTTTAATACATCGAAAAAAATAGATGCTACTTCTTTTCCTCCTATTGAGGCTTTTGACAGTATTCTTAATAAATCTAAATGCTCAGAAAAAGTCTATAAAATAGCACAGGAGGTATAGAAATCTTTTGATATGAAAACATTCAGAGATTATCATAACTTTTATCTTAATCTTGATATACTATTATTAGCAGATTGTTTAGAAGGATTTCACAAATTAATGAAAGGTAAATTTGGATTGGATATTGCTCACTATGTTTCTCTCCCTTCATTTGCAGAAGATGCTTTATATAAAACTACAGGACAAGAGATTGAGCTATTTACTGATGATAATATGTACCTCTTCTGTGAGAAAGGTATCAGAGGAGGTATTTCAATGGTAAGTAATCGTCAAGTTAAAGCTAATAACTCTCAATGTCCCGATTTTGTTCTAGAGTCAGAAGAAGCCATGAAAAAACTCTATATATAGCTATTATATGTTGATGCCAATACATTATATACTGGAGCAATGATGCAATCTATGCCAACAGGGAGACATAGATAGATAACACCAGATGAAACTCCAGACCTTTTTAATAAAATTACCAAATGGGATATCCCTGATAATGCAGAAAAAGGCTATATTTTGGAAGTTGATCTTGACTATCCATATAATTTACACAAAGCTCATACTTCATATCCTTTAGCTCCTGAAAATATCAATATTTCTAAAGAGGAAATGAGTAAGTGTGGACAAGAGGTTATTAATAATTTAAAACATTATACAAAGACTAAGAAACTCGTTCCAAATCTCAATAATAAGAAAAAGTATATAGTTCATTATCGAGCATTACAATTTTATATAAAGCAGGAAATGGTACTTACTAAAATTCACCAAGCTATAGAATTTAACCAAAGCCCATGGATGAAGCCTTTTATAGAAGAATTGGCAAGATCTCATGCTTTAGCTAAGAATGATTTTGAGAAAAATATGTATAAGCTCCTTGGTAACACAAACTATGGAAAGACTGTAGAGAATGTACGCAAATATCAAAGAATAGATTTTGTTAGACCAGAAGGATAATCGAAAAAGTTTAAAAAATTAGTAGCTAATTCCAGTAATAAGTCACATAGAATTTTAGCAGAGAATTTAGTAGATATTTCTCGTCATTAATCAAAAGCTAGACTTAGTAAACCTATCTTTATTGGTATGTTTGTTCTTGATGAAAGTAAGATTACTATGTATAATTTCTATTATAATATTATAAAAAAACGATATAGGGATAATGTTGAAGTGGTATATACTGATACTGATTCTCTTATATTACTTATTTAAACTGAAAATATTTATAAAAATATGGCAGAAATGCATGAACATTTTGATTTAGTGATTATAAGCCGGAACATCCTATATACGAAGCTCTCGGAAAAGAAAAGATTATTTTGAATAAAAAAGTTCTTGGTAAGTTTAAGGATGAAAGTTGCGATACTGCTATGTGGAAATTTTGTAGACCAAGACCTAAGCTCTATAGTTATATTCTTGCTAATGAAAAAACAGATCGAAGAGCTAAAGGGGTACAAAAGGTAGTAGTCAAAAAGAACTTTACTCATAATATGTATAAAGATTGTTTAAAATCTCGAAAAGAATATATGGTAACAATGCATAGATTAGGAAGTAAAGACCATATTATTAGACTTCTTCATTCATCTTAAGTTGGTATTAGCCCTTTATATACTAAGAGATGAATTTTATCAGATGGAATTACCACATTAGCTTTTGGGGATTGGCGTATTATTGCATACAAGAAATTTATAGCAAGGGGAATATCTCATGAGAAAGCTGAAAAAAGAATAATGATGCTTGAACTAAAACCAGAATATTAATAATCGAATATTTATGATCAATTTATTTTTTATTTATAGCAAAAGAATGTTATATAATATCAAGAAAAAACTCCCTTCTTTATTTAATAAAAATTTTTTGCCAGAATGACAATATACAAATAAAATAATATAAATACAAATAAAAATTAAAAGCCAAAATAACTGCGAGGCTTTATTACTTTTGAAAATGTTATAGAGTTGATACCAGGGTAATTATATAATATTTGATAATTGAGAATTATACCTACACCAGATAGTTTTTTTGATTACTTTCTGAATTAGAATCATTAGTCTTGGGGGCATTAGTATCATTAGTCTTGGGGGTGTAGCTTCATTATTAGTCTTGGAGGTGGTGTTATCTTTAGTGCTCATTTCATGTTCCTAAATACAAAAAAGATAGTAAGTAAAATTCGTTTTCATAGTTGCTATTAAACAAAATAACATTACTTTAAAAATAAATTATGGTCAGATAAAAAATTATATATAAGCAAAAAATATTATTATAACCCACTTGCAAGAAGCAAAAAATCGCTTATTTTTATACCAACTATTCGCTAGATTAAAAAAAACTTGCTAGTTACATGATTAGTAATTGTGTTACTCTAATACTACTAGATCACACTTAACAAAGCAACTTTATTTCGGTTGTAAAGCCCAAATACTAAATATATTTTAGCATCCTTTTAGGGATATAGCCCCTTAGATTTGATACTTGCTACTACCAAGTGAAAAGTTAATGATCTCAGCGATCTGAGAATTCCAAGTTCTATAGCATATGAATTTTGATAATATTATTAATAAAGAACATTATACTCTTCCTTAGTATAGCCCTTCTAAATTCTATTTGCACTTTTTCTTATCGCAGCATTATATATAATAAGAAAGGGCTTTCTTATAAATCAAAAATCGACTATGAGAAAAAAGGCAAGTTGGTAGTACGTAACCCAGGTCACAATATCACATGACTAAAACTAGTTTATTTTTTTATTAGGATCAGATTGTTATAATGTGCAAGAGAATCAGATTTTTATTAAGATAAGTAAAATTACAAATATTACTAACACTAGAGTTTTATTTGATACATAATAAATAACTTATTTTAAGGGTTGGGATCCTGTGGCCTAGTGGTCTAGACACCCAACCCTCATGAGCGGGTTTCGGATTCAAGTCCTAGTGAATATGGTTTTTTATGAATACTTGAATATACTCACACGTGTAAGTCTAAGTGAATATATATTTGGAATAGGAATTTCCGAAAAGATACCTATTTGCAGAGAGAGAGCACTACGTATAACAAGCGATGTTATAGAAGATTCTACTATACAAAAGTTGTGCATGTAAATCCTTGATTGGCATAGGTAGCACCAATAACCTTAAGGCGGTACTGGGATCTTGGTTGGGAGGACAGCTGGGTGGGTAGCTAGAATTGGAGTAGTGAGAAAAGTGGTGAAATGTAATATGATCTGTGATAAAGAATTGGCCTTACCAATTATAGAACACCTCTGGCACAACTACTTACCTGATGAGAAAAAGAACAAACTTTTATAGAGAGTTGGCTGAAACTTGGGTTATGTGTAACAAACTCACGAAATGGCTTGGAGGCACTGAGCTGGTAGTGTAGCAATACACGAAAGAGAGGGAGAACACCAATACAGAAACACCAAACAATTAAAATAAAAGTGATAC